CGCGGGGCGCATGGCGAGGGAGAGAGAGAGCCACACGGAGCATGCGCGGGGCGCATGGCGACGGAGAGAGAGAGCCACACGGAGCATGCGCGGGGCGCATGGCGAGGGTCGGAGCGAGGACCAGCGGGTGCGAGGAAAGAACTCAATAAAGGACCAACGGAGAGCGACATCTTGTGAAGGAGTCCTTTATTACACTTGTAAGGGCCAGACTCGTGTGGCTGAGGGTCGGAACCTGCGCCGAAGCTGGGCCAGGTTAGCTAGCCTACATTGAGGAAGGTCTGGGATAGAGGGAAGTAAGGAGTTAACGGAAAGCGTTAGCTGGGGAACACTTCCTCTAATAGACCGGGTGAAGAGGCCGATACACCTCTTCGAGTGTTAGAGTTGTTACTCTGCTGTATTACATTTTATTGTAATAAATACGTGTTGCCTCCATAAACTTCTCCTGCATCACATACCCCCGTTACATATAGATTATCACCACCCACCCCCACCAGCACCTCCCTTTCTTCCTTACAGGGCGTTGAGTTTTAATAATAAAGGTTTGTTATTAATATTATCGCCTCGTCTCAATGCTTTTGAGTGTCTGGGACACACCAGTGGGCTCACATTTCCCACGCTAAGGGCTATTTCGACAGTGTGGCTGTTGCGGAGCTTCTAGAAACCACATGTGAGGCAGAGTTCTGTGTTCCTTGGGAAATGCCAGCCCTCCAAGGGGTTTGCACAGCTTGAGTAGGGGGCAACAAGCAGAAGGTTGTGGAGGTGGTGATGGTGGTGGCAATTTAGGACGGCGAGGAGGAGATGTCCATGAATAAACTAGTTGGCCACAGTGGAACCAGGAACCATCGTCGTTCCTACGTCCCCTGATGTGAGCGGCGGCACTGGAGAGCAATTCCAAGATCTCAGGCAGATGTGGATACTCATTCCCATAATCGAACAGTTACTTCACCTTGGAAAAAGTATTTCAACCAAGAGATTTAGATCGAATTAATTTATAAAGCAATAATTACTATCATAATAATATCCCATATAAATATATAAAATTAGGATGATGCTGAAATGGTGATGTTTGCCTAATATGTGGAACTGCCCTACATGTAGTGCCAAACACTGACGCTCTGAAAAATATTTCTGCAGCAAATCTGTAGCCCTATCCCCAACTCAAAGCCTGAACAGACTATGGAACATATGACAATTCAATGTCCGATTCACAAATTCGAAGGAGGCATCATCACAGCGATGCACCACTCTTCTACTCCTTACGTAATAATCTGGCTCAACTACCTCAATGCAATATAGTTTTTGCTCTACATCAATGTCAGCCATATGAAGAACATGACTCCAACCCCTGTTTGTCCCCTTGTGCAAATTCAAATGTCCATCTGTCCTAGTTTTATTGGAGGTCGCATTGCTCAAGACAATGCTTTTCCATGTAGTTCTCCCCTCTTCGGGTTTTGATAGATCCTTCTTCCCAAGATGTGTCCCAGGTTGTGAATGTCAGAGGTGGCGATCCTGACCCTCGTACACGGACGGTCACATAGCGCCCCTTGTCTCCTCCCATCACCCAGCACCAGCCATCCCATCCCCCCCCCCAACGTGATCCCTCAAAACCAACTGTGATTGGCTGCAGCAATCTTTTTCACAGCACTGTTGTGTATATGCCCCTTTTTCCAAAAAATAATATTACGAATAATTCGGCCAATAATTTTTTTTGGTTCACATAGTCACTCGGAAGCGCAAACACCCATTTCCCCACCTCCGCGAGCAACTGCTCAGACACGCTCGCAACAAAAAGCCAGAGGGCAGGACATGAATCATAAATGGTCATAAACCCCTCCCCGTATACCCGCAGAGAGAGATGGGGGGAAATCGCAAATGGGGTTAAAACAGTCACCTACACTTCAAAAGGCCCCCACACAATACAGGCAGTAGACGCCACGAGACATATATAATAAAAAAAATGGTAACGGTTAAAACTTCTAAAATTGCCAACAGGGAAAGCAAAAAGACGGGTTTTGAGCCATATTAGTTAAACAAAGTTACCAACTTAGCCACGAAGATTAAGCAAACATTATCTATCCTCATCCTCACTCCAATTGAAAACCAAACTACAGTCTGCACCAGGGGGTCGTGAGTCCTCAATTGTTAATTCAATACTGATATTATTTACCTTTAATAAGTTTCTACGCGACCTGACCGAAGCATCAAAGAATAATTATGGCAGTCAGGGTCGCTCTTAAGCCAAAACAAATTTCCTAGCCCCGTGATATCAGAAAAAAATAATAACTCAAGAACAAACAGCCAGAGAACCCACAATACAGGCAGTGGAACGAAGATTAGTAAAACCCTATGAAATACGTGGTAATAACAGGCTAAGTCACAAATCTTGAATAAACACAAACCAAATAATAAGTATGAAATCATCACTACCCCTATCATTACCCCAAATCCTATCACTACCCCAACCCCTATCACTACCCCTATCATTACCCCAACCGCTATCACTAACCCTACCCCTATCTCTACCCCTATCACTACCCCAACCCCTATGACTACCCCAACCCCTATCACTACCCCTATCATTACCCCAACGCCTATCACTACCCCTATCATTACCCCAACCTCTATCTCTACCCCTATCATTACCCCTATAACTACCCCAACCCCTATCTCTACCCAGTGGCGGCTCCTGCAAAATCTCTCAGGGGGGGCAAATGTCTGGATGATTGATAAGGATAAGGTCCACCCATGCAATGAATAAATTAACAGCTTAAGCATGTAAAGGCAACTTCACTTCTTTAATATTAATGAAAAATAAAGTGACTCTTACAATACATCTTGTTTGTTTCTATACTCACTATTAAAACAAACCACTCAAGTTTATTTTATTAAAGATTCCACTAGGTGGCCACAAATTATATTGTTGGATGAAACGTGCTTACGTATGATGACGTAAGCACGTATGATGACGTAAGCACGTTAGGGCGAGCCCTCCCGGAAGCCATAGAGAATGCATTGCAGCGCCCCCGTTCGAAAAAAAACATCTTTAAATGTAAGTCTATGGGGCCACTCGGGGCGATTCTCAGCCGGAGTGAAATCGCCCAAAAAGAGGCGGTACTCGACAGAACGTGACATGACGCTGATTGGACTATATCCAGAGGCTGCAGTGACGGCTAGCGTGACTCTGTGGTTGAATGACATTGGTGGTGCGTCGCCCAATCGCCCTAATGAAGAAACCGCCCCTGTCTCTACCCCTATCACTACCCCAACCCCTATCACTACCTCTATCATTACCCCAACCCCTATCACTACCCCTATCATTACCCCAACCGCTATCACTACCCCTATCACTACCCCTATCCTTTGGGTCTTTCGGTAAAGTCACGTAGATAGAAAAATAATAATGCAATAATAAAAATAAAGTGAATTAAAAAAATATCACGTTTCGACGTTTTTTTTTTCCTCCCGATGACCATTGCTTGTGTTGCGATCGAAATGTCGTGACATTTTTATTATTTTTTATTAACTTTATTTTCATTTTTATTATTTTATTGTTATTTATATCTACATGACTTTACCGAAAGACCCAAAGAATATGAATTCCTGCAGTCACGAAAGCTTTAAGTTGTACTTATTAAAAATTAGCTTTACATTTAGAAAGCCCCGATCTCAATGGCCTCTTGGTTTTTATTAGGGTCTATAGTACTACTATTTTGGCATCAGATGGAGCGACCCACCGGCCAAAGTATTTCTGTGTCGCATCTATGGCAACGTCAAATCAACTTGGAACAAGCTAGGGCGCCCCCCGGGGGAAACGCACGCCGCCCTCGCCCAAACGACGCGAGAAATGGACGAGGGCTACCTGCTCATGGACGGGGCAGGCTAAAGAAGTTAGTCCGACTACGGCTGGGAACACTCAACATCGAAACATTGACAGGGAGAAGTCGAGAATTGTCAGCTGCCCTAAAGGCCCGTCGTATCGACATCGTATGTATCCAAGAAACGAAGTGGAGTGGAGCAAAGGCCAGAGAGATTGGAGAAGGATACAAACTGTTCTACAACGGTGAAAGAAACACCAAGAACGGCGTTGGAATCGCAGTCAGCCAAAATCTACGAGACAACGTCGTGGCCGTCCACCGTGTTTCCGACCGCCTCATGTCCATCGAAATCGACTAAAAACGACCTACGCCTCTGGGTGGTATCTTGTTATGCGCCGCAGTCTGGCTGCCCAGCAGATACCAAGGAGGAATTTTGGGAACAATTTGATGGACACATGCAAACGATAAATGGAGAAGAGCAGTTAGTAATTGGTGGAGACCTAAATGGACACGTTGGAAACGCCCGGGATGGATACCCTCGAAACCATGGTGGCCAAGGATATGGTACCCGGAACGATGAGGGAAACCGAGCCCTGGATTTTGCGGAAGCCCATGATCTTGTCCTCGCCAACACCTTCTTCAAGAAGAGACCGTCCCATCTCATTACGTACGCCAGTGGTGGGAGATCAACTCAAATTGATTACTGGCTTGTCAAGCAGGATAAGCTGAAAACGGTGACAAACACTAAAGTCATACCATCGGACAACATCGCCCCACAACATCGCATCCTGGTCATGGACATGAAAATGGACTTTGGCCAGCGACATCGCCCACCAACAACGGGACAGCAGCGAATTAAGTGGTGGCGGATGAAGGAATGCAAGGATCAGCTGAGAGTCGCCCTCAATCAGATTGACGTGAACACCAACCGACCAGCGAATGCGATTTGGGAAGATCTCGCCGGCCAACTGTGCACAGCAGCAACGGAAGCACTGGGGCTAACGAAGCCGGGAAAACGCTTCATTGACAAACAAATATGGTGGTGGAACGAAGAAGTGCAGCTAGCAGTGAAAGAGAAGAAGCTAGCTTTCAAGAAGTTGCGCCAAACGCTCGCATATCTGGATAACCAACACTACAGAAACTGCAAATCGGCAGCGAAGCGAGTAGTAGCAGCGGTGAAATTAGCTCAATACGACCAACTGTATGTCGAACTGGACACCCCAGAAGGTGCCAATAAGATCTATCGACTGGCAGAGGCGCGCCATCGTTCGACTCAGGATATTGGTCAGGTTAAATGCATAAAGGATGAGAATTACAGCGCTCTCAGAGACCCGCCCGCCATCCTTCAACGCTGGAGCGACTACTTCTCTGGAATCTGCAACCAGGAATTTCCCCACCCACCAATTATTAGCGCTGAACACGTCCTCGGTCCCGTTTTGCCTATCACCATCATCGAAGTGGAACAAGCTATCAATAGAATGAAGAATGGGAAAGCGACTGGCCCGGACGATATCCCTGCTGAGGCCTGGAAGATCCTTGGCAGGCAGGGTGCTGCCCTCCTTACCCAGCTCTTCAGCACCATCATGAGCACCGGTGAGGTCCCAGAAGCCTGCTCCTGTGTCATGCGATGAAGATCTGATATTGATGATGGTGGTGATGCTGAAGTCTCAGGGCTCGCACTGGAAGGTGGCTCCCCCGTGCACCTGCGGCAGCTCCGTGCAGTCGAGGCTCGCGATCAGCGTGAGCTCCCCGCGGCGCTTGGGAACCACGGGCACGCGCGTGCAGCCGTGCCCCTCCACGTTGCTGCGCCGAGACAGACACAAAGACAAAGGTCCCCTGTATAGCCTACAGCAAACTGTTGGGGCAAGCACTGCGAGCACCTGTTAAGGCCGGGACAGGCACAAGAACGGGTGGTGTGAGCAGCACGTCTGACCGCCTATTGTACCCCCAGTGCTGAAGCTTGCACACACCGCCTCAGTCATTTGAGGCTGAATCGACCTAGGGGAGGCCCAGAACTGGGTCGCGGGTGCATAACAAATTACACTCACCGCTACACTATCGTGAAGCGAGAGACACATACAGGCACGTGTCATCATCATCATCAGCAGAAGCGTGAGCATCAGGTATAATTGTCACTAAACACATGAACAGTATTGTGAGATTGCATTAGCAGTGGTGCATACGCACGCAAAAAGTTAAAACTCTCAATCGTCAATAACATCCTGGACTTAAAAAGAAAATTATATAATAACGGACGTTTCGGGCGATGATCCGTCTTCTTAGGAAATGTGTTTGGTTCAATCGATAACACGTGTGTTATGAACAAGGGTAGTTGCCCGAAACATCGTCTATTTCTATTTGATCTTGTTATGATCGTGAACTTGTGACGACGGCACCATACCCGACGAGTATGTTGCTCGGCGTGTGCACGCCGGCTCCCTCCACGCGGACGCGCACGCGGTGCAGGGCACGTGCCACGGGGTTCGTGAAGCAGAGCTCGGAGAAGAGATCGCGACCCACGTGGGTCCCCTCCATCACCTGTGGGGGGATATCACACCATCTACCACTGCACCATTATCAGGCAATCACAAGCACAGCTTCTAGCATGAAACCACTATCATCATCTTGACACTATCATCGAATATCGTATTATTATCACACCATCACACAAAAACAGCTTCGAACATCACATTACCACCATCATCATGATCACACTTTCATGTAACTTCGCATTTTCATCATCACACCATCAATTACCACCACACCATTATCATGCCATCATCATCACACCATCATTAAACCATCATGCCATCGCAAACACACCTCCGTTAAGCACTGGTGTCTACGTACATTGCGAAATAAGTTCAACATACATCTAACATCACAGCATCATCTAACATTATACCATCATCATGCCATTATAAACACACCACCACCTACCATCGCACCACTGTGTCGGGTGGAGGAGGATTTATGATACCCAAAATAAATTTTGAGACGTATAGTTGTTGCTGCTGTTGTTATTGTTGATGCTGTTGTAATGTGCCACTCACGTGCAAGCGTGGGGAGCGCACACGGGTCACGTGCAATCTCGGCGCCATGTCGAGCACCGGCGCACACGCCACCAGCACGAGTGCGAAGTGGTCCACGGCCAGGTGCAGGTACGCACTCGGGGGCTCGCACACCAGCACGCGCCGCTCTGTGCCGGACAACAAAGACAAACATCCCTTCGTAGAGCCTCCCCATCTCCATCCTTCCGTCTCACCCTCGTGCGGTCCCAGCTCCAGGATGGGCCTCCTCCTCCTCAAACCTGCCCAGGTTGACGCCCGTGTAAGTGGCCTCGTGGCCCGCACACTCACGCGGTGTCACGTGCTTGTTTTCGCCACGCGCACCTCGGCCGATAATTCCCAGCCCAGTGCAGTCTCCTCAAGAACTGGCACTGTCACCTCGGGGGGTAGTGGGTCCCCACCTGGGTCCCTGCCCATTGGGGCCCCAATAGGGTCCCCGTCGGGGGATACAATCAGGTGCTCATCGGAGTTTACAATGGAGCGTACATCCAGAGCCCTGCCAATATCCGCTGCGTCTCCTGCCCTCTCGACCCCGCCTGGACGCCGCTCGCTTTGTTCCCCCAGGAGGACCCTGGCCCTCCTGTCTCCACCTCGTGGGTTCGCCTCTCTGCACTCCCGCGCTTCAGCAGGCTGAGTGCTTACACCACCACGCGGCGCTCCTCCTCGGAACCTGTGGGGGTGGACGAAGGTGGGTGGAGAGGGGCATCATCATTGTCAGCAGCAGATGCAGCATCATTATTATTTCAGCAGCTACAGCAATAGTCGCAGCATCGTAATCATCATCTAAAGTACCACTACTTAGCAGGAGCACTATCATCACCATCTTCAACTTCCCCAGCCATCACCAGATTGATAGTTCCCTACCATCACCATGCGTAAAGACATTAGCATTATCATCACTATCTCCTGCATATCCTAATCTCAATATAATTATCGTTAAACATTATATTCAACATCATATCGATGATTGCACACTTGTAAATTGTTCTAGTTGTATTCAATAAATATCAGTCAACATTTGCATCACAAGAACATTCCGCGCCACTGACCCACTCCCCGCTGCCCTTCTCCATCCTCCCCTTGCTCCTTGGCCCATGACCATCTGCACACTTCCCCCTGCTGCCCGGGCTCATGGTTACCCGCAGAGGGTTTGTATTTGGCTGTGATATCGAGGCTGCAATACATATCCACGTGATAAGCCACTTCGTTGAGCTATAATTTATGATTGCCAGGTAGCTTCTGAGAAACACCTATATAGCTCATTGAGCTTTACCGGGTAAAATAAAAAAATGTTAAGTTTTTGTTAATCTGATGGGGAGGTACCACACGAACCACGACCACCGCCATCATCATGACCACTGTCAGGCTTCGTAGAGCAGGGTGCGTGTTTGTTGTCATCGTCTACGAGAGCTGCACGTGGCAAACCGGGGGCGCTGTCGCATGGCTCGGCGATTGCGTACTTGCTGAATGAATCTGGAAATTGCCACGTGGTCAGCAAAGGGGCAGTACAGCAACATGAACCCTTGCATAGTGCCCCGCTTCCCACACCTGCAACCAACCCGCACCGACCAGCGTGAAGTATGGTCAACGATCCACTAGGTCGTGGTGGTGGGGAGGTCCCCATACAGCAGCGGACTCGTGAAAGGGCCATGACGTGGACGCACATGCATCATCCCATGTGATACCACCTGCGGGGCACGCCTCGCGACGCTCAGGTGAGCGTTACATGCCCCCGCTTCCTGCGGGATAGCAACAACCGCCTGCCAGCCATCATATCCCGATGGCAAGTCGGGTCTCTTCATTCATGCGTTGCTCCACGATTGGAAGTTTCTGGCACAGATGCGCGAGGTGGATGAGTTGCAGTCCTGTTTGTGAGCGTGTGGGTTTAGAAAGCTGCGTTATGATGAATCCAATGTACCGATTCCCGCTTACGTCCACCATCACCAGTGGCGATAATCTGAACCGGTCCTGGATCTCTAGAGGTCGGCTTTAAATGAGTATCCGGTGCAATGTGTACACATCGCAACTCGAGAGACAAAGGCGGCCGAGGATTGTCCCGGCCACCCACACAGAACACGTGTGAAACAGACATCATGCGAGAAACACGTGCAGATCATTCGGAAAGCAGGCAAATATCTTGTTTAATATCACATATGGATCGTGCGTAGAACGCATACCGATCATACATAAGAAACAAACACCCAGGTAATGTATGAAACACACTCATATGCTCCTGTAGGATACGTTGGTTCAGCAGGCGTATCGGGTGATTGATTACAGTGTTAGTTTTTTTTCAATGGCGATAGAAAATATTGTTCATTCATTTGCTGTCCAGCTGTACACTCATTCATCCATGCGCTATCATATTAATCTGTGCATCTGTCAATCCACAAGGTACCTACTATGATAACAGCAGTGCATACTGTGGTGGTACATTGTTTCACAACAGCAGTGCATACTTAATGCGGTGGTACCTGCTATGATTACAGCAGTGATACTGACTGTGGTGGTAGCTGGTATGATTACAGCAGTGCATACAGTGGTGGTAGCTGCTTTAACTACAGCAGTGGATACTGTGGTGTAACCTGCTATGATTACAGCAGGGCAAGCGACAGTGGTGGTACCTGCTATGATTACAGCAGTGCAAAGTGACTGTGGTGGTACCTGCTATGATTACAGCAGTGCAAAGTGACTGTGGTGGTTCCTGCTATGATTACAGCAGTGCAAAGTGACTGTGGTGGTACCTGCTATGATTACAGCAGTGCATAGTGACTGTGGTGGTTACCTGCTAGCACTACAGTAGTACATGCTGACTTTATAGCAGTATATATCGAATCTATAGCACAAAGTAGTAAGCAGACAGAGTGACGTAGTGAGGCCTAGTCCCGTGCAGAGCCCCGGCCTCGCCTAGATTTCCCAGCCGGTCGAGGTGTGACCTTGGCAGGCTGTGGGGCTGGGCCGCTCCCCCCGGCCGCGCTACAATAATGGCATGTACGCGTTAGAAGAATAATATGTAGGGGCTCTATAGTAGTTTCAGGACGCATTGGGGTATCATTGGGGTGGGGTGAAGAGGACATCGCAATGTGAATAATTTACGTGTTCCGTGTTTTTGCTGCATGTTTAAGGCAAATTAAAATTCGTGCCGATCGTGTGCGCGTTGCTAAGGGCAACCCATGTGAGCACACATTAGTACTATAAGCATGAGTGTAATTACACTCATGCTCATAGTACTAATGTGTGCGACTTACGCCTTGTATAAATGCACATAATACAAAAGTGTGCGCCTGACCTTTGGCGACGGCGCGTGTGGATTGCTGCTGGGGGGTCACCTCGTGCGCGTTGTGCGCAAGTGCAGCTGGCTGCGTTGTCAGCCCGCGCGCGGCGAAGCGAAATCAATAAATAATCGCGAAACTTTCTCTTAAAATAAAGAAAAATCGGCAAAAGACGCGAATTTAACTAATTTTAAGGTGACGGGCGTGAAAAAGGAATCGCCTATGCCAAGCACGGGGCTTCCGGCGTGGTACCTGGCTAATTTTTGTTTACGCCAGGGGTGTCCAAACTTTTTGCAAAGAGGGCCAAATTTCATGAAGTGAAGATGCCCGGGGGCCAATAGTTCCTTCTGACATTTTTTGCCACAAAAGTTACATGAAAACACACACTGTTATAAAAAAAAATCATTGTCACAATTACCTTAATTTTTCAAATGACAATGTAACCAAATATAAGCCACTCAGGCAGACGTGAACAACTCTAAAAACGCAATTCTGCCTTTCATTCAGTCAGATAACATTGAACAAACTGTATAGAATACCTTAAATTTCCATGAGTGAAATATCTTTGCCTCATGAACATTTTAAACAGGAGTTATAAGTAATGCAAAGTGGTCTGTTATCATTAAACTTTAAAACAAGTGAATTTTGCCCTTGTCTTTTACAAGATCTTTCAGAAAGAAATAGTTTGTGTTACATCTACAGGTACATAACATCAACAGTTATAACCAAATCTTATTCAAGAGTTTAATACAACAAGTGCCATAAGACCAAGTGCATTAGTGTGCTTTATGCTTTTCACTGTTAATAGTGACAGATGTTCCCGTTCAAAACACTAAATTTCAGATTGATCAAGGAACAGCCACCTCACATCGTTGTGATGTATTACGTCACCGTAGAAGTTATTCAAGAGCCAGATAGCATTAGAATGGTGCTGCCACCGTGTGGTGAAAAGAGGAATTTATTTATTCTGACAGAGCTAGCGAGCCATAAATTACACATTATAAATTACACATTATAAATTACACATTATAAATTGCACATTATAAATTGCACATTATAAGACCGAAGCTGCGGGCCGTATGAAATCTGACCGCGGGCCGGACTTTGGACATGCCTGGTTTACGCGAACCCCACCGTTTGAGAGCCAAATCCCTCGCAAGCGCGTCAACACTCACAGACAGACAGAGACACAAAATGACATTTATATAGGTAAAAAACAGATTATACGTGTCTGCTACGAAGAGGGTGGGAGGATGAGGTGAGGAGAACGAGGTGAGGGGTGAGGACGAGGTGAGGAGGACGAAGTGAAGAGTGAAGATAACGAGCAGATGGGTGAGGAGGACGAGGGGTGACGAGGCGAGGTCAGTAAGGGAGGTGCCCGTCTCAGGAGTGTTATATTTGTCGCTTATGCTCGATGTTTGATGTGTGACAAACATTGAATAAAATACTTCATACATCTGGAATTATCGTCAATTATTCGTGTCTGCTACATCTACCTACACGCGTGCGCGTATTTATCCCAGAGGGATCTCATGAGCTTGACGTTCTCTTTCACACACGTCCAGAAGGGGCGGGTCAGCCGGTTGCATCAACAACAAAATGTAATAAAGGATACTAGAGTCAGGATTGAAAAAATGTAATCAAGTCACAAATAAATATGTAGTGCAAAAACAAACTGTGCAGCACATACCTTCCTGTAGATTTGTCAACATCATATCCAAGCTTGGGCAAGACGGCAAAACACCGACAGTCAAAGGAGCACACCAAGACCAGAGACAGTCGCCTCGTGAGTGAATTTCACTGCGACATTGAACTCTCGACACGTGGCGAGGAGGCTCCGAGTCTCAAGTCGCAGGGAGCTTCCTCTGCCCCCATTGGCTGCCTGGGGGGGCGGGGTTCACGGGCTCTGGCTCCGCCCACAGTAGGCGGGGCCAATGACGTCACCTCCGGCTTTGACGTCACTCCGACAGGGCGAGCGAGCTGAGCGGCTGCTTCTATCTCTTGCGCCCCCAACAGGAACTATGAGGTTCTTCAAGAGAGCGCAGCAGTTGCAAGCGACGCTGGAGACTCCGAATTCGTCAACAGTGGAGGTGAGTGGCGCCACCTCTTGCCTTTCAGCGGCATCGGAGTTATACGAAATAAATACCGTGATCACATCGAGAAAAAAATATATAGATTTTTTCTGTTATTTAAGTTTCACTTTAAAATTGAACGCTTGATACGTAGGTAAGGAGGTTCATAGTTTAATATCACAGATTGAGAGTTTCATCAAGGATTTTAGTCGGAAGGAGCTTTCTCTGGGCAAGGTGGTCCTTGTTTGCGTTGCCATGGTGACAGCATCTCGGACCAACTGCCGTTGTCCAGCAGCTGTGCCTGGGGGTCACGTGGCATTTGGTGACGCGATAAGGACGAGCCGTAGACTCCGCCCATATAGGGTTGGCTCCGCCCACATAGGGTGGAGCCAATGACGTCACCACTGTAATGTCTGTTACGTCATTCATATCGGTTTTTGGGTGAGATCGCGTTATTATAAATGTGTCGCAACCCTCCACCACCCGACACGGCCAATCAGTAAAAAATGTGTCACGTTAACAAAACGCCAATTAGTTACTTCTTCAGCCCACGGGTGTGTTTGAAGAGTGAATCCACAACATTTAGAATTTGAGTACGACGTTTCGCTGGTAATTACATTACTAATCTTGACTTAGGGGCCGTCCATAAATGACGTCACGCAATTTTGGGCGATTTTTAACCCCCCCCCCCTCGTCACACGGCGTCACCAAAAGTCAGACCCCCTCAAATATGACGTCACATAGCTCTGCCCCCCCCCCCCCAAACCATATTTCCATTTTGAAAATAAAACATGCTTTAAATCACTTTAAACTATCGTCATTGTAGTGCGCATTTAATGTGGCGCTACACTCTGATGTTGTAGGAGAAAGTATGTATTAAAAAAGTTGTTGGAAAGCTGAAATTTAGCATAAAATTCACTTGAAAATATTCAACGTCCAACTAAAACTGCAGATGTTCAGAATATTATATTGAAATTCTCTTAGGATTATAAAATTTTAAAAGTAATTATGACTAAAAAATTACTTGAAACTGTGCAGTAGAACGAAGCAAAATGGAGAGTACAATTATAACAATCCCATATTCATTTCACAGAATGTTTTGATGGCAGAGTTGTACTTGGCAAGAGAGGGGAGACAAAGCTAGGCTGGAGTGGAGGCCACCGCTGGAAATCTGTATGGAAATAATACAGGCAGTCCTCGCTTAGCGCTCAAGATGCGTAGGTGGAGAAGTGAGCATTCATCATAATAAAGGCATTCATCGAATCAGCGCTTGAAGGGTTATACCATTGTACATATGGGGATGCCTTCCCTACAGCGTTGTCTCTTATGAACAATAAACGAGGGCTTCATTGGGGTGTCAGTATCAGCACAATTTAATTACAGTAATAAAACAGATGGTAAACATTATATCAAAACAAATATACATTTTTTATTATCAATAAGTATTATGTAATGTACTCGCCTGATGCTCACCCACCTCGACCGGCCTTATCACTTGCATGTTACCATTCTAAGTGATACTTTTCCTTGACCTGTTGGTCTCATTTCCAGCACTAACATTTGCAGGCCTCTTTCCAGACATTTTGGGGTTAAGATGCTCACTAAAAATATGAAAACAAGGCAAAGAGAGACCAAGGAAGAACAAACACGTCGGCGGACCAGGGTGTCTTTTAAAAACTGGCGAGCGCTGCGTGGCTCAAAGCGTACTGTGATTAAACTGAATAACAAATATTGTAACAACATTGACAAAATTATAAAAAAAAAATTTTATGTACTCGTGACCATACATCGTCATAATTGAATCGTGGGGGTTAGTTGCTGGTTGCCCCAGAGCGTTAGTCACTCTCACTAGCTGAGCGAATGTAAACAGAGATGGCGGTGGGTGCGTTTCTGAGACCAACGCTGCTGCACGTTCTACCACGGTGTTTAGGCTGTGTGGGGAATAGTGTTGTCTTGCGTGGGTGTGTGGGTATCAGCGTATCTGTCTACTTCACTTGCCATGTGCCATGGTGTTGTCTCCACCATCCGAAGTCAAATGGCGTCCGTCACGATGCGAATGAAGGCAGGATTTACAGGGAGGAGCTAACGTGCCCATGCCATGTGCCCTTGCTCCAGTCGCAGTTGCCAATGCCGGAGAACGAAATGCTCCAGCTGTCTCAGGAGGTGTCGAACCTGCGGGCCAACCTGGGCAGGGCACGAGCGCATTTCAACACCCTGCGTCGTGCACTGAGCCAGAAGGATAAGAGCCTTCACGAGATGCTGCACCAACTCGAGATCCACCGTGCTGAGGAGGTACCGTGGCCGCCGCCAACCCCTCCCCCGTCCCATTGTTGCCCGGAGCGCGGCTAAAATTAAACGTGTTCTCGTTGTGAAGCTGCGTGGTGCACAAGCAGGGATAACAAAACCTCAACATATTCGTCAATAAGACTGCAATGAATATTGCTTTGAGTTATCTGCTCTAAAAAAGGGCCATTGCCTGAAACGTCACCATTTCGTTTTTGATGAATGTGTTGAGTTTTTATTCAGAGTGCGATCTAAACGTCAAGGAAATGGGCCATTAAAAAAGTGCATTCTGGGAGGTGGCTGGGTGCCCCAGGGGTCAGAGATGCTGTGCCAGCACTGCTGAGATGCCAGGATCAAATCCAGATTACAGCCACCCAACCGCAGTGATTTAACCGGGTTCCCAAGCGTAATGAGTTGGTGGTCTCAGCCTGGCCACCAATGAGTGCACAAATAAACCCAACGAATAATATTTTGGTTCTGTACTTAATTTGGCTAAATTTGAATCCTAATACTGTTGAAAATGAAAAAAAGCAGATCAAACACAATTTTTGTATCATAGCATCTCTCCACAGAATATGCATGTATGTTTTACTGATTAATACACCTGTATGGGGCTGACCAGCATGGGGAAGTATAGTAAAACACATCCCCATGACCGACATGGCATTGAGTTGTTCTGAATATAGACTCCATTTGAAGACGATCATTTGGGTGCTCGGAATTTCTTCATAATCTTATGATGAAGAGCGTTTCCATGTTGTATGCATGCTTACCAATGGTTGATATATCATGGTTATATTTTTGGAATTTCTTTTAGTATTCGAAATATTTTATATTCTCTTTAAACGTGATTGTGGTATGTTCATTACAGCCATGGGTGTTTACCCGTGGTCGTATTGTTCACAATATAATCTAAACTTCTTCTCTTTTCATTTTGAAAAGCATCCATTGCATGTGTGCGTACCCATCTGCGTGAGTGCCACCTATATGGGCACATGTGCGTCTCTGTACTCGATCTCTGTGTCTCTGCATGTGTACGTTGTCTCCCTGTACATGTAATGCCTGTGGCTATGTACATGTCTCTCCATATGCACTGTGACTTTCCGTACATGTGTCCAATTTTTTACATGTGACTTGCTTGTGTCATTACGTGTATATGTCTCTGTATGTTTGTCATTTCTCTGTTTCTTTTCGTGTGTCTCCTGCCTGTGTCTCTGTCTCTATTTCTCTGTACAACTACATACTGCGTGTGTCAGTATGTCTCTACCTGTCCTCATCTGCACGCTGCACGTGTCTGTGATAAGGGGCTGCCCACCTATGCATACACGTGCCTGTGCCACTGTGCCCATCTGTCCGTGAGCAGCTACGGGCGCACTCGCAGGCCATCGACAGCCTGCAGGCGGAGTTGGAGGCAGCGCGGCGGGGTGAGCGGGAGGCCGAGGAGCGTTCCGTGCACGACGCCAAAGCCGCGTCATCGGAGCTGGCAGAGTTCACGCTTAGGACTGAGCGGCTTCAGGAGCAGCTGAGACATGAGCACGAGGAGACTCTGAATCTGGCACGCATGGAGATGGCCGAATATCGTGCATCGCACACGCACGCCGACTCAGAGTACGACGCTCACGTCGTGCACATCGCGGTCCTGCAGAAGGTGAGGCCTCCACTCTCGCTACAGCCACCCCCTACCCCCCCCCTACCCACACTCTAGCTCCCTTGTCATTCGGGGCCATTGATTGGTGTCCTGGAAAATACTTGATAAGCCACATAATCACTTAGAGCTCTTTTCATAATTGGCCAAGGTTCATCCATTGCTGGATGAAGGTCTCCCTTAAGCCACCACCACCTCTCACAATCTTGCAATGATAACAATCCACTTAGTACCTGCACACAATCAGATTCCATCGCTCCATTCCCAGGCTGACCATCCGTCATCCCCTTGAGCAATGTGTCCTGCCCAAGCCCACTTAATTTTCTCAATATATTGGGTGAGCGATGAAAAGAATTATGAATGTATTCAAATTACATGTAATTATGTGTAATATAGATACTGCCCGTCCTCCGCCCGCAGGAGGTGAAGGAGCGTGACGAGCTGCTGCGGCGCTCTGAGGCCGACCTGGTGGTGGCACAGGAAGTGGCACGAGAGCGTGGCACTGAAGCCGAGCGGCTGGGCGCCGAGGCCGCGGAGCTGAGTGTGACCGTGCGTGACCTCTATGCCAACCAAGAGGTGCAGCAAACTAAGGTGGACACCCTGCGGGATCAAGCGCTGGAGTTGCAGCAACGGCTGCAGGAGACCAACACTTGCTTCGAGGAGACCGGTGGGTCGGGGCCTGTGCTCCCAATCTTTCTAAATCCACGGACCCATTGAACACTCATTTTTGTAGACCACTATGCACCAATAACTTATTTTCACGAGTTTAAACGAGTCTAAGTCCTAGAAACATTTCACACGTGGACCACTTCCA